GGGGGGAACCCTTCTATTAATTAAGATCGAGCATCATATTCTATATAGACCCCCAAACAAATAGAAAAGTAGATTCTTAGATCTCCTCTAAAAATGTATGGGATTATATGGGAAACCGTGCCACTATCTATTTGGGGACCACTACAGTGACCTTCTCACATGCCTACGGAGATCAGAACGGTTCGGAGCCGCCGGTCACCTTTTGGGCAACCCGAATGATGAAAACGATGCACATGCTTTTTGAGTGATGAAGTATATGTCTGTTCCACTATGACCAGGTTGGAAGTGGTCACGGAGTACATCAATTCATGACAGCTACATGAACTCTCTCCGGAGACACACAGAGGCCATCACAGGAAGCAAAGAAAAAGCTTCCACTACCCCAGGGTGCGAATGCGGCATCTGCATCCCAGGTTTGGTGATACTTCACGGGGGGGATTGGCTTGGAAAAATTAGACGAATCACAAGCTTCATTCACTAGATCAACTCGAGCAGGTGTTCGCTGTCCATCCTCAAATAAAATCTTGACTCTCGTCATGTCGCTCTTTCATGGTACCTGTTAGCGTTCGATCAAGTCCCATATGTTCCAAACAGTGTGTGTATATGTTCCAAACTTAGGCCATTAGGCCACATCTGGTCACAAGCCAAAAGCTTGGCCACTGAGCCTTTGCTTTGTGGCATCGGACCCAATCTTGTACAATTTTGTACACGGGCTAAATGGTATGCTTGCAAGGTAGAGAGGTCACTCCAAACCTGAGAATGGCAGCACGGTACACAAAACACGTCGGTGCTCAAGATGGGTTGCAGATGGTTGCAGTGTATGAGGAGGTTGGCAGAGTCCTGGTAGACTCTTAAGGCCATCACTCGAGTCCTTTACGCTCTTCACATGCTGAATCACATCACGTAACATTCTAACACCCTCACTCTGGTTCTTAGTGGACTTCAGGCGGTTAGAACGTGTTGCAAACAAAGTCCACCCACACTCTGGTGTTTGCGCGTGGGGGCCTCCTAACCCGGCGAAGATCCATCAACATCATTGTCTGAGTCTCTTTCAACAAGAAAACAGATCAGAAGGGCACTTTCAAGTCCTCTGGGGCCTTAACTATGGTGGAAACAGACAAACGGTTCTGAACAAGTGGTACAAAATGACCTTCATTCAAACCATCCGACCAACAAAACGAATGGCTTTCATTCTTCGTCTCACCCCCAGCAAAGCAATGAAGATCGAACCCCGATCTTAGCGCGAGCAGTCCGAGGTCCGGGCCTGCTGCATAGGCCAAGACGTCGGATGCTGAGACCATTCCTCGAAGCCTGCGGACGGCCCCGGAACGGAACGGCCTTGACTTCAGCGACGGCTCGCCGCGGGCTGCCGGGTCCAGGACCGAAACGTGGGGAAATTCAACTCATGAACCGAAACAGACCATTGTTCTCCCTACCAGTAGCTTCTTGTTACTATATAGTAGTAATGGCCTCCAACCTTATAGCAATGGCCTCCACCTAGTAGCTTCTTGCTACCCGGAAAAGATGCGTAAAGGATCAGATATCTGAAACCGCCCTGCCAGAGATCTTTCAGTGAGAACATCCATGATCATCTCAGTATGATCCCCTGCAAATTTGAAGGTCTTTTGGGGCACACGGCCAAATATAGTATCTTGTTTTGTCTTGTTTCACATTGTTTGGGGCCGGGCAATGATCCTTTCTTGGTTTTCGGCTGCCAAGAAAAGATGGAATGTTCGTGGAGAGAAAGTCGGATGCTCTTTGCACAGTGACAGAGTACTCAGTACGATCACAACTTACTTGTCGTAGGCATACTGCGGCATACTGATTTCTATCGTGTCTCCAGCCGATAGAGTTTCGCAAAAATCAAAGACTCTGGACTCTGGGTTCTGAACAAATCATTTCTCGTTCTCATCGGGAGCTCCTGCCAGACAGAGCAGACAGGAAACATCAGCAGAACCACATGAGGGTTCCAGGCTGGTGGATGAGTCCTGGCTTTGTAGGGATGGAACAACAATCTGTTCAACCACTCCAACGTCATCGGAGCAGTATGTGCAGGTCCCTCAGAAGACCAGCTTGCTGTTCACATGTTCAGTCTATGGAGCGAACTCACTATGTTCATGCACCCGTACCTGGGTGGAAAACGCACCCGCAAAATGAAGACAAGGAAAGTCTGAAGGCCGCTGTACCCAATGTCGGATCTGGAACAAATCACCCTGGACTCCTCATCTAACCTAAAAATTCCACAGACTATACAACCCAAGACCACAAAAACTAAACTTGGAACCTGCACATGAACCCCAGGCCCACCCTGATTATTCCTTCTGGTCTTCGAATGACCTCAATTGAGATCTTCCTTTGTTGGGATCTTCACCAGGCTCAGCAGTTCTCCACAGAGCCTCCGGTCCCTCCCTGCACCCGTTCACGTCGCACGGGAAATCCCGGAAAGGCCGTCGGCCTGT